TTTTTTAATTTTTAAAAAATCTTACTTATTTATGATAGAGAGAGAGAGAGAGGCAAAGACACAGGCAGAGGGAGAGACAGGCTCCATGCCGGGAGCCCGACGTGGGACTCGATCCTGGGGCCCCAGGATCGCGCCCTGGGCCAAAGACAGGTGCTAAACCGCTGAGCCACCCAGGGATCCCCCTCAAATAAGCAAATCTTAAAAAAACAAAACAAAACACAACAAAACACAAACAATCATGTGTATTAAAACATATAAAGTGTTTGACATGAGACCTGGCACGTGTTAAAAAGCCTGATCGGTGTTTGTTATTACTACCATCCTTGGATGCCCTGTGCAGTGGAGCAGATTGTTACAGACCAGGAAGTCACCATGGGCTGGTGACCTCATCTGCGCTACGGGACCCTGGGCAGAAACTCCCGCTGTCACTGTGGCTGCCTCCCTCCTCGACACCCCAGCATCAGCCCTGTTCCCGGCTCCACCTACCCCAAAGCTCCATGGCTTCAGGAGAACAAAGAGCTACTTCTTTGAAACATGGGGTGGTCCCACTTTAAGAAAACTCACTCTAGAAACCAAAAATGAAAGAAAGAAAGAAAGAAAGAAAGAAAGAAAGAAAGAAAGAAAGAAAGAAAGAAAGAAAGAAAGATCTATAGTGTGTTAGCAACAGAATCTGTATCATAAGATCATGGTTTTTTTTTTTTAATTTCCCAATGAATAAACCAATCAATTCACCATCACTTTGGCTTCATGGGTCACTAATGATGACTCACCTCGCCCCACTAACACAAAATCCATCCCACTTAAAAGAGCGAAGAAGGAATGAGAGATTCAGGACATGGCATTGTGCAGCCACGAATGAATGAATGGATGTGGGAACATTATCAGTGGCTAACTGGCATCACGAAAGAGAGCCGGGCAGATGTGCACCTCCTGATGGAAGGACACATGTGCATTCTTGTCCCCAAGAGAAAAGGGGGCACCTGGGTGGCTCAGTGGGTGAAGCATCTGCCTTTGGCTACAGGTCATGATGCCAGGGTCCACGGGGTCGAGCCCCATGTCGGGCTCCCTGCTCAGCGGGCAGCCTGCTTCTCCCTCTGCCTCTCACCCTGCTTGTGTTCTCTCTCTCTCAAATAAATAAGGAACGAGGAAAAAAAATCTCTATCTGATCAGGCTGCTAGATTTACTTAATTTATAGGAAATGCAAAGAGCAGAAGGCAATGCTGAACTACTCTCGACAGGCACAATCGACAAAAATCCCAACGGTGGGAAACTCTGCAGGACCTGGGACCCAGTTTCCTCCAATAAATAGCAAAAGAAAAATTAAGATGAGGAGAGAATCTTACGGTTCAGAAAAGACATAAAAGACTCATCCACCAACTGCAATGTGTGGGCTTTTTTATCTGGATACTGGATAAAACAAAGTAGAAATAAAGGCATCAATTATATTCGTGATTCAACTAGAAATCTGAACACTGGATATTGGATGATATTAAAGAACTGTTGAATGTTTAACAAAAAAGTTCTTATTTCTTAAATCCGGCAATACATTGTAATATTCACGGCTGAATTGATAGGATACCTGGTATATACTCCAAAAACTCAGAAGGGGGGGTGTGTGTGTGTGGCTGTGAGTGGGGCCGGCCTGGCCGTGATGGAGCGTGTGCTGGTACTGGGTACTGGGTGCCTGGGGTCACTGTACTATTCCAATCTACTGTCTGTGCTCCAAACCCTATATAATAAAAAGTTCACAGAAAAAGGCCACTCACAAAATTACAGTTTGCCCAGCCATGCGTGCGGAGTGGCGTCCGTCTTCCGCATCCCCAGGGCCAGCAGGCTAGGATGTGTTGCTCCTGGTTCTGGCCTGTTCTCTGAGGCAAGTCTAAGTCTAAGTGTCTTAGAGAAGGGGGCAAGTCTAATCTCTTGGGTCAAGCAGGGAGTTTCCTGAGGCCTCAGGGCCTGGCAGTTCTGGAGATGGGGAAATCATGGGACAGGTGAATTCTCTGATACACACTACACCCCAAAAGCTAATCTTAGGTGGAAGCTTGGTTAACCAGCAGCTATTCACATGTCAAAAGGGTCAATTGACTTAAAATACAGCAAACTTTTTTTGTTTTTTTTTTAATGGCTTGATCTGGGATGCCTGGGTGGCTCAGCAGTTGGGCGTCTGCCTTGTGCTTGGGACATGATCCTAGAGTCCCAGGATCGGGTCCCGCATCGGGCTCCCTGCATGGAGCCTCCTTCTCCCTCTGCCTGTGTCTCTGCCTCCTCTCTCTCTCTCTGTGTCTCTCATGAATAAATAAAGAAAATCCTTTAAAAAAAATAAAAAAATAAAAAATAAATGGCTTGATCTACAAATGTCGGCAAGCCCGTAAGGTTCCATCTAATGCACGAGGCAGGTGAGGTTTGCTGTGGTCCCGGAGAGGTTCGCGTGCTGTTAACACCTGATAACTACCTTCACGGGGGAGAACCTGAGCAGCCCCCCGACCCAAGGGACCGCAGCAACTAAAGGCTCCTCCTCCCACTCGCGAGCCTGTTTCTAGATCTCCACCTGCCCATCCTCTCCCTCCCACCTTGGTCGGCGGCTTCCCAGACACCGCGTTCCCCAGTTCCCGGGGGGGGGGGGGTTCGCTGGCACTTGTGAAAGCCACAGGAGCCTGTGTGGGGCTTCCTCTGTGGACGGCATCCCCAACGGCCTCCTCCAATCCGACGGCAGGGCAGCCTCCTACTCTGTACCTCCCGCGGGCAGACGGCCACCGGGAGAGGCTTGTCCCGGCCCTCGGGGCCACCCACCCGTGCAGCTGGATACATACACTTTGTAAGCACTGGTTTCCAACAGATAAATGTAATCAAGGTTTATATGCTCAGAGAAGCCAACAGGATGGGATTGTTTCACTTGAAAGATCAGAAGAAAATTGTAACTAATGTTGTGGAAAATTACTTTGATATTGCTTTCTTGGTACCGAATCACAATTAGGCCGCTGTGAGAAGTACAGGGAAAGAATAAATGAATAGTAACAAATCAACACAAACAGCCTGTGTCAGGAACACTTTGCTCAGGGAATGTAACATAAGCATTACTTAAAGTTTTATGACTGTGTTTGATGTGACTTAACGTCGAGCGTCAAGGTTGCCCATCCCCGGCCACGTGGCCAAGGTGGTCCGGCTCCACTTGCAGCCCGCGCCCCGGGTCCGCGCGGCCCACGCCGTCCCCACCGCGGGGGGACACTCGCCTGAGCTCCGTGTCACCCTCCGCGCCCCGCCAGCCCGAGGCTCTGAGCTGCTCGCCCCTCCACCCTGGAAAGCCCAGCCGTCTTGGGGGGACCCCCAGCTGTCTTGGGGGGGGCCCAGTCCCACCGCTGATGGAAAGGATCCACTCGTGCAGGGGCAGGGGCAGCGGTGCCCGGCAATGCTGGCGGGTAGAGAAGACACGAGGAGCGAGTGCTCGGCTGGCCGGCGGGCTGCGGCGTGGCGGGCACACATCCTGGCCGCCAGACCGTCTCACCCCAGGAATACGGCCCCTGCCCCTCCAGGGTACCACAGAGGGGGGCACCTGCCCAGATGGGCGCCACACACACACACACACACGCCTTCTCTCCCACGCTTGTCCCACAGAGCGCACACCCCGCACGCAGGACCCTGTGTATGCGCCACAACCATGCACACCCCAAAGCAGGCACCAAAGATCCACGGGTCACCCTGAGGACACACCATTCACCCCAAGCCATATATAAAGGGCCCTCGTTCAGGACCTCATTTCTGCACAGATAATGTACACGTGGGGAGCCGGTCTCAGCCCGCCTGACAGCCCGACCCTACAGGGCCGGGTTCTGCTAACACGGGGCCGCTGGCCGTCCTAAAGGTCACGTGAGGCTGCACCGTCCCCCACCAGCTCCCGGAGGAGCCGGCTCAGTCACATGTCCTTGTTTCTCCAGAAGAAGGGGAGAAGCCAGGCCCACCTCTCCCAGTCACCGCCCTCGAGGTCTGGCCCAGGCGTGAGCCAGGACCAGTGACTCGCCTGCTGTCTCCTGGGGTCCCACTGCCCTGGCTGCTTCTTGCTGCCTCTTGATGAAAGAACGAAGGCGTTGGCCTCCCCACCTAGGGCCCTGGTAGCCGCTGCCAGGCCCCTGGGGGGCCCCATTCCAGCCTCCTGGTGCTCCTCCTTTCTGCCTGAGGCCTACTGGTCATCAGTCTGTGCTTGGGAGGGGAGGGCCGCCCAGAGCCGGGGGTGGGGCTGGAGAGGGGGCTGCAGGCCCGGGTACCCGGGGCCCCCCCTGTACAATGAGCTGCAGGCAAGAGTGGTGCGGGAATCTCTCTGCCTAAATCCACAGCCCCTACTCCTCCTCCGTATTGTCCATGTCCCAGACACACTGGTGTCTTCGCAGACACCCCTGCTAAAGGCTCCCAGGCCCACGGCTGGGAGACGAGTGGGGGCTGTGTCTCAGCAGCAGGCACCCTGCCCGAGCTCCCCGTCTCCATATTTGGCCTACCTGAGGCTCCAGAACCATCCTTTCCACTTTGCCCTTGCTGCCTCCCACCTGTCCCCAGCAGACCTCTGCAGGTCAGGAAGGGGACGCCCCTCCGCGGCTCCCGCGGGGCAGGAGGAGGCAGGCAGCAGTGGGGACCAGCAGAAGCAATCTCAGCTTCACAAAGGCAGGAGGTACCTTGAACTCCCTCGGCCCAGGCCGGAGGAGCTGGGTTTGAGGGGTCCCTGGGCTGGCCCAGAAGCAGAGTCCAATGGGGAGAGTCATTCACCCTCTGACGTCCTGGACCATGTGCAGAGGCAACAAGTGGGTGAGACGCGGGCAGCCTGGCTATCATTTCAAGAGGAGGGCACAGGCCAGAGGCCACGGCTGGGTCAGAGGCCAGAGGCTGATGCCTGCCACAAGCAGGCCAGGACCCCTCCTCTGCCTGCCGGGGGTCTCGGCGCAGACGGCACCGGGGCAGCCACGAGGCCTGCGCTCCACACAGGAAAGCCGGGGTAAGCGATCGCAAGGGCTCACCTGGCAGCTGCCGAGGGGCGAGCTCCGTGGGGTCCTGCAGGCTGATGAAGAGGAGGAGGCCTGCGGCTCCGAACAGCAGGATGGATGAGAACATGCAGGCCAGCCGCATGGTTCCGGCTCGCGGGGTCATCCGGGGCTTGCTCCGGGGTCACCTCTCGGGTGTGGGAGGCGCGTTCTTCCCTCATCATCCACACCAAGCATCCATCAGGCCACGGTCTATGGGGGCAGATGGAGAGAAAGACGGTCCATCACCCAGGCCATGACACCCCGTGCGGGTGAGGCCCCAGTCACCGCGTGACCAAGCATAATCCCGGATCCCTCCATCCTTTAGAACTTACTCAGGTATGCCCCTTCCACTTTTTTTTATTTATTTATTTATTTATTTTATTTATTTATGATAGTCACACAGAGAGAGAGAGAGAGGCAGAGACACAGGCAGAGGGAGAAGCAGGCTCCATGCACCGGGAGCCCGACGTGGGATTCGATCCCGGGTCTCCAGGATCGCGCCCTGGGCCAAAGGAAGGCGCTAAACCGCTGTGCCACCCAGGGATCCCCCTTCCACTTTTTTTTAAAAAAGACTATTTATTTCTTTTGGTGGTGGGGGTGGGGGGAGTTCAGGGAGGAGTAGAGGGAGAAGGACAAGCAGCAGGCTCCCTGCTCAGGGACCTAGAGCTCCATCCCAGGACCCTGAGATCATGACCTGAGCCAAAACCAAGAGCTGGATGCTTAACCGGTTGACTAAGCCACTGGGCACTTCCACCTTTTCAAGCCCAAGGAGGCTGAGGGAAGTCCATCACCATCTGTACCTGGGACATGAGCTTCCTAGCAGGGTCTCCTGTATCTGCACCCCCATGGCTTTTCTGGGACACTCTGGCCTCTACCTGGGGGAGTCCAGGGTGGAGCCCAGAGACCCACAGCCAGTAAGAGCCCCTGCACTCCGAGCCCCTGCACTCTCCGAGCTTCCAGAAGAACAAGTGTGTTCCCTGGAGGGGGCCTAGGTACAGATCCAGCAATATGGGTCCTCGTCCCTTGTAACTGGCCTGATGGACAGAGAAGCTCTTGGATCTCTCTGCCCTGGCTCCTCTCTGCGGGATGCCGGGGACAAGGGTCTCCACAGAGCAAGATGCTTTGAGAAGAAGCCTTCTAGGCCGAGAGGCTATAAGAGACAGAGACTCCCCCCCCCGGACTGCTCCTCTCAACAGCCAGAGCTGGGTCTCCCCGTCAGATGGGGGGGGCTAAAGGAATAGAGACCCCTCCAGGCAGTCAGATGCACCAGGGGGAACCGAAGCTCTGGCCAGATCACAGTTACTCCCACTTTCGAGGCCCTCAGGCCTGGAACTGAGGCAGCCAGACCTGCGTTTGACAGATCCCAGGCTCAGAGGCAGGTGACAACATCCCTTGTGTCCCTGCAGACGAACACCTGTTGCTCTGGCCACTGCAGTCCGAGAGCAGGCCCAGGTGACTTGCCCCTCACCCTGGTTCCTCCTGAAGGGCAGAGAAATAGAGGCCAAACACCCCCAAAACCAATGAGTACTCCCAACTGGCCAGGCTGTGGGTTGAGATGGGGGCACCCCAGGTCCACCTGCTCATAGGAAGGGTGTAGGTTCCTACAGTGGGGTGAGGCAGGGCTGGAGCGGGACAGGTGAAGAGGGATCTGCACAGGAGGCCATGCTAGACGGGCAGGGAGTCCCGGACTTCACCTTTTAGAGGAGGGTCGCTCTGTGCCTTCACCCATCCCTAGTATTTGGGGCGCAGAGATACCACCCCCTCTCCACCCAAGAAGCCTTGCAGGAGCTTCTCCCACCTTGATACAGGGCAGCGCCAAAGGAGGCTGAGCCCAGGTGGGCAACTTCCAGCAGCCTCTGAGATCACAGGTGGGTGGCTGGGACCCCCCAACCAGATGTGGCTGCTTGGCACAAGGGCATTTCTCTGCCCGGGGTCTCCCTGGGCACGGTACTTTGGTTGGGGACCCATTCCTGCCCAGGCACCCAGGCGCTGGGGGAGGAAGCCCCAGCTATCGTCCCTCTGTGTCCTCATGCTCCTGGGGGGGGCGGCGGGGGGGACGAGGCAGGAATGGGAAGAGGAGTCGTTCCCTCCCCAGCCCAGACAAAAATTCCCAAGGTCTAGACTGTTCTCCGCAAAGCTCTGGGGCTGAAGAGTGCTAAATTGCAGGTTTGGGTTTCTCCCCTCTGCAGTCTCTGTAATTATGTTTTCACTCAGTTAACTTTAATTAACCCGCCCCAGGCCTCCACGCGCGGGAACGCGCCGAGCGCCGGGCTCTCTGGGCCCTGCCGAGCAGGCAGTTCCCACGACCTCCCAGCTTTTATGTTCGGGAGGTTCGGGAGGCAGCGCCGCCGAGCAGGACTCAGGTTTGCTGTGGCCCCCGCCCCAGAGAGAGACGGCTGCTTCCTGCCATCAGCAGGGACACCCCTGCATGGGGCTCGCCACCTGTCCCACTCCAGCCCTGCCTCACCCCATGGCAGGAACTACCCTTCCTATGAGCAGATGGCCCTGGGGTGCCCCGATCTCGACCCACAGTCTGGCCCAATTGGGTCAAAGTAGGCAGCCCCAGGTCCCCAAAGGCTCCGACCCTGAAGTCCCTTGTGGGGGGCGCTGTGGCTTCTGGCTCCAGGGCTGCCAGGGACAGGACTGTCCTGGGGGCCTGGCTCATCCTGCAAAGGCACAGATGCAGCAGTGCAGGCCCCACCGGAGGACGGGGTCACTCTCAACACTGCCTGCAGAATGCCCTGTGTCCTTGGGTCTCCAAAGCCCTTCCCTCCATGATGACAGGCACCGCATGCAGGGGCCACCAGGGCGGGCCTCGAGGTCTGGGGGACGGTGGGGGAGATGGAGCTCTTCTCTCTCTCTCGTCCTCACTCTGGGCCCTCCTGCCCCAAAGCAGTTGGCTCAACCCCGGGGCTGCCCTGACAGTCATGGAAAGGAGGCAGGGGAGCAGAAGGGGGTCACACACACGGACTCGGCGGGGGGGCAAGGCCCTCAGATAGGGAGCCGGGGAGGCACTCAAGGCCTCTCTGGAGAAGATGCTCACGCTCTAACACGCAAACACACCTAGGCACACACACACCATCGACGGTCCCCAGCAAGATCCCCGCTGTAAAGAAAGCGCCACAAGGCCCTGTTGACGCTGGCGGTGGTGGCGGCACACTGCCTGACCGCCTGCAGCCACCCGGGCCTCCTGAGTCCGACGCAAGGCCACGAGGCCAATCTGAGCTCGGGTGAGGCAAAGAGAGGAAGGAGGGAAAAGACAGAGGCAAGTTTAAGGCCAGGATACATGGCTGCCCAGTAAAACAGCTAATAAAGTGCCACCCAGTCTTGGCCCAAAGGCTCTATTTGATTAAAAAAAGGGGGTGGGGACCTCAGAAGCATGTGCAATCATCACTGCATTGTTTACAGTAGCCGGCGCCGCAGAAATGGCTCTGGAAGAACTGGCCAGTCCCCTCCGCTCCCCAGCCTGTCACGCTGTCACCGTACAAGCCAGGAGAGCTGTCTCCTGTCCTGCAGCAGTGACCTGTCCTCGCTTGATTCTGAACCTACCCAAACCAAAGCCCCCACGTGGAGCCAGGCTCCAGCAGCCCAAGTGCCTGGGAGTCAGCAGGAGACCCACATCCCTGCCCCCCAATCTGGGGGTGGGCGGAGGAAACCAGCCCTGGGACCTGCACCTGCACCACGGCAGGAGCATCAACCATTCGAGGGTCTGGTTTCAGAGACCTTCCCTCTTGTTGACCCCCCAGGAGCATATGGCCCCCTCTCTGGGCCCAGGGCAGCTGGTGCTAGAGGCCTTCCCTGACCGCCCCCTAAGCATCAGGGCCCAGCCCTCCCCTCTGAGTCCCTCCTCTGTGTCTGTTCTTGCCGCAGACCACCTACCCAGCCAACTCCCTGCTGTGTGCAAATGGGAATTGGAAGGTTAGCACGCCTCCCCTCCTGGGTGACTGGCCTGCAGTCTGGCTGGGTCTTCGCTGCCCCTGGAGGGGGCCACCGTCACAGAACCAGAGGAACCTCCTTCCTTTAAAGGTGGAGGGTGCACAGGAGATGAGCAGACACTCCAGAGAGTGTGCCTATCTGCTCCCCTATTGTTCCCTCGGGGATCCTTGTCTTCAAAGTCTCACGTTAGTTTTAAGGTAACAGAGAGATGCTGGTCCAAGGCTGCTTGTCTCTGTCTCCCGGGAGTCGAGCTGCTGCTGGGGGAAGTGGACTCTATGATCCGTCCCAGGCTGGGGCCAGGCTGCCCAGGGCCCCACAAGCACACTCACAGGCCTCCGCTCCCACCTGGGACCGTCGCATCCTCACCGCACGCTGCATCATGCTCAGCTCCACTGACAAGTGGAAGACCCTGCACTGCCCCCCCACCCCCTGCCTCCCTTCCAAGACCAACAGACAATAAGAAGATTCAAACAACTGAGGCAGAGCCAGGAGGACTGAAGCAAGAAAAACAAACAGCCCACTTAGTTTCTAGAAGGTCCTGTCCTCACAATCCCTAGTTTTCCCAGCGGCTCGCTCTCCCTGAGGACCGAGTGGCATCACTAATTTTTACTGTAAAAAAAAAAAAAATCCAATTAATCTTGTAAACACCTCCTGGGACACAGGTCAGGGCCAAGGATTCCTCCCATTTCCTTATTTATCTGATTTAAAAATTTGTCTCTTGGGAAAATTCACTTTAGGGCACAAGCAAAGACTTGGGAATTCAGCCAAAACGCACGCACCTCCAGTGGCGACAGGCCGGCAGGCAGATGGACGGATGGCTCCAAGGACACGCTTGGCTGCGACTGCTCCGAGGCCTGGATGCTTCCCCCCGTCACCCAGAGGACCCCGTGGCCGTGGGGACCCCTGGAGGCAGCCCGAGGCACCCGGTCCTGTGCCCATGGGAGCACCCACTTGGTGTGTGGACCCTGGGCCCCAGAAAGTTCTCCGTCCAGTCAGTCTCCTCCTTGCACGGGCAGGAGCGAACAATGACGTCCCTCCCGGCTGAGGGCTCCAGGAGGAGCTGCTCATCGGGAGAGAGGCTGCTATGGCAACTTGAGGAGGATGGAGCCAGCCACCGGCGTCACCTTGAATCCGGCACCCGGTTCCCCCTCTGCCCCTCCGAGGCTCCCACGCCAGGCTGACCCCCGCCCCCCCAGCGCCCCCCCCCGCCCCGGTAACCCAGCCGCTCCTCGCGGATCGGAGCACACAGCCCGTCCCCCGAGAACACCACCTCCATCTGTTTTGTCAGACGAGTTCTTCCGTGTGTGCGGCTCCTGCTTGCTTCTGAGATGGGGTTCTTCTTGATTTCAGCTCATTAAAATCCTGCAGCTAATTAAAACCGTTCTCCCAGCAGCGGCGGCGGCAAACTCCGGGACGAGTCCCTCCAGTTTTTATGCGTAGGCATAAAGTTGCAAGGCTCTGCAAGGGTGACGCCAGCCCCACCTGCCGCCCCACCTGCAGCCCCACCTGCAGCCCCACCTGCAGCCCCACCTGCCGCGGGAGGGCGCTGGCCAGGGTCCTGAATTGCCCATGGCCCAGCCTCCGCGTGTCCTAGCCCGCACGGTGCACCCCACTCCTGGGGGAGGCAATCCCCCCGCCACACTCATCCCATTACAAGGCAGGGATTCCCTCCAATTCCCCATACTCTCCGCTGGGTGGGAGGAAAGGGAGCCCCAAGGCATAAATCAGGCTCAAAGAGCCCCGAAGCCTTGTCCCCCTACCTGGATCCACCAGGCTACAGCCCAGCTTCCCATCATGGCTTACACAAAGAGGCGGAGAGGAAGCCTGCAAACACACAGCTGCAGCGAGGGCTTCCTGAGAGCCTGGCCAAGGTGCCACAAGCTATGATGCCCTTGAATGCTTGGGGGTAGGACCACACCATGGATACATCTCTGCTCAGGACTTCATTTTTGGGGCATTTTATGAGGCAGGGTAGGGGACAGTAATTCTGCAGGTAGAGGAACTGAGTCCCATCCTGGCAGGATGTGGGATGGGGACCCACCCCCCAAACCCATGAGCATGTGTACCTCTATGACAGCCCTTCTCCAACCGCATGATGTGGCCCCAGAGCAATGTCACAGCCTCTCCTCATCTTTGTATTCCCAGCACTCAGCACTGTGCCTGGCACAGGGCAGGTGATCAATAACCTGCACTGCATGTGGCACGAGCAGGGGTTGACAGATCGGGATGTCTGGGCCATCTCCAGAGAGGCACTCCACGAACCTAGAATTTCTAAAAGGCCATGCATGTTTTAGGGAGCTGTGAGTTTGTTTTGATCAGGTCTGGGTTAGAATTAGGCCCAAAGAGTAGCCCAAACCTGTGAGAAAAGTGGAGGCAATGAAGTGAGTTCCATTAGAGAGCCTGATGGAACCTGGCAGCTCCCACATACCCAACACACACTCACCAGCGGAACCCCACTTTTGTATCCTCATTTTGGTAGGGCAGATTTCAAATCATGAGGCTTGAAGACTAATACATTCATGGAGGTAAATGGACTCTAGTCCTACGTATACACATGTATTAGTTAACATAATATATGTACAAACAAATAGACAAGTCATTTAGATGCCATAAAATGGATTATGCTAGGAAATTGCTACTTGAAATTAAAATTTGAATGTGTTGATCAAAAGTCAATGAGGAGTGTAGGGGGAAGATAACGGAGACGGAGCATCCTCAGTTCACCTCCACCTGTGGACACACCAAGGCATCAACTACATGTGCGACAACTCACTCTGAAAACAACCTGAAGACTAGCCAAACAGAGCTTCTCAAGCTAAAGACATGAAGAGAGGCCATATTGAGAAGAGCAGGAGGGGCAGAGACAAAGTCGGGAACCAAACCCTGGATGTGACAACCCACAAGCAGGAGGGACATCACAGGCATGGAGGAGTGAGAGGGGAAGCCCCACACCAGGCATCCCTGGCTCTGAGGACCTGCACAGAGAAGATGAGCCCCCATGATGTCTGGCTTTGAAAATCAGCGGGATTTACCTTCAGAAGAGCTGGAGGTTTATAGGAATCCTACTCTCCAGTCTTAAAGGACCAGTGCACTATATCACTGGGCCCCAAGACCCAGCACAGAAGCATCAGTTTAAAAAGTGTCTGGGGAAAAAAAAAGTGTCTGGGGGTATACATGAAGGGGATTTATTGACTAATTCTAGGATATGTGTTGGAGGATCAGGGCTCTGCAGTTTTCTCCAGGAACAGAAGTGCTGACAGGTGCTATTTCTCCTGCCCTCCTTCTGCCTTGGCCAGATGCTTGTGGGAGCCAGTTCTGATGCTCTCCATCTACCTGGTTAGCACCTTGCCCTGCCTCAGCATTCCCCTGCAGAAGAGCCCCGCCCAACCCAACCCACCAGAAGACTCCCCTGTAAAACAGCTCCCACACTGGGCAGCCCCAGACAGGACCCGTGCCCTTCTAGAGGGACCATCAGTTGCCACACCAACAAGCAGCTCTGGTCAGAACTGGCACACTTCCAGAGCAAATCTTGACCCAGGGAGTGGGGGACTGAGCCCTACCAACCAGCACACACCATAGCTAGTTGGCCCTTTGAGCCAACTGCCTGTGAGGCAAGCCCAGCCCACCAGTGCACCCTCAGCAGTCAGCCCAGTCCCAACAGGAGGTGCTCACAGCCCACGTAGGGGAGCACCACATATATACATATGCAACAATCACAGAGTCAGACAAAGTAAGGAGACAGGTATATGATTCAAACACAAGAACAAGACAAAACCCTTGAAAACAAGCTAAACAAAACACAGATAAGGAACCTATCTGATAAAGAATTCAAATTAATGATTATAGATACTCACCAGACTTGAGAGAAGAATGGAGGAACTCAATAAGAACTTCAATAGGAAGTATAAAAAAGAACTAGTCAGAGCTAAATACAATTAAGTGGAATGAAAAATATACTAGAAGAATTAACAGCAGATTAGAGGATGCAGAGCAGACCAGTGACCTGGAAGTCAGGGTAGTAAAAAACAACTACACTGGGAAAAAAAAGAAATGAAAATAGGTTAAGGGATTTCTGTGACAACATCAAGCATAAAAACATTCACATTACAGGGATCTTAGATGGAGAAGAGATAGAAAAAAGGGTAGAAAATGTATCCAAAGGAATAATAACTGAAAACTTCCCTACCTAGGGAAGGAAACAAACATCCACGTCCAAGAATCACAGAGAGCCCCAAACAAGATGAACCCAAGGAGGTCCACATCAAGATACATAACGTGGCAAAACATAAAGATAAAAGATAATCTTTTTTGAAAAGATTTTATTTATTTATTCATGAGACACACACAGAGAAAGGCAGAGATATAGATAGAGGAAGAAGCAGGGTCCCTGTGGGGAGCCTGATGTGGGACTCGATCCCAGGCCCCTGGGATCACGACCTAAGCCAAAGGCAGACACCCAACCACTGAGCCACCCATGTGTCCCGATAAAAAGGGAATCTTAAAAGCAGCAAGAGAAAAACAGTTACATATTAGGGAAACCCCAAAAGGCTATCAGCTGCTTTTTCAGCATAAACTTTTCAGGGCAGAAGAGAGCAACATGATATATTCAGTGTTGAAAGGAAGAAACCAATAACCAAGAATACTCTACTCTGCGAAGTTATAATTTAGAATTGAAAGAGAGGCAAAGTGTTTCCCAGACAGAAGTTAGGGGAGTGCATCACCACTAAACTGGCCCATGAGACATGTTTAAGGGAATTCTTCAGGTGAAAGAAAAGACCCACGACTAAAAGTAAGAAAATTATGATAAAAAAAAAATTGCTGGCAAAAGCAAGCATACAGTAAAGGTAGTAGATCAATCACTTATAAAGCTAGTATGAAGGTTAAAATACAAAAATAGTAAAATCAATTATTTCTACAAAAATTAGTCAAGGGATACATAAAATAAAAAGATGCAAAATATGATGCCATATACATGAAATGTGGAGGGGGAAGCAAAAAAGTGCTTTTAGAATGTGTTCAAGGGATCCCTGCGTGGCGCAGCGGTTTGGCGCCTGCCTTTGGCCCAGGGCGCGATCCTGGAGACCCGGGATCGAATCCCACATCGGGCTTCCGGTGCATGGAGTCTGCTTCTCCCTCTGCCTATGTCTCTGCGCCTCTCTCTCTGTGTGTGTGACTATCATAAATAAATTAATTAATTAAAAAAAATTTAGAATGTGTTCAAACTTAAATGACCATCAACTTATTATAAACCGCTATATACATAGGATGTTATGTATGTGTTGCTTGATAGTAACCACAAACCAAAAACCTATAACATATATAAAAAGTGAAGACAAAAGAATCCAAGTGTAACACTAAAAGTCATCAAACACAAGGGAAGAGAGCAAGAGAAGAACAGAGAACTACAGAAACAATCGCAAAAATAATTAACAGGGATCCCTGGGTGGCGCAGCGGTTTAGCGTCTGCCTTTGGCCCAGGGCGCGATCCTGGAGACCCGGGATCGAATCCCACGTCGGGCTCCGGTGCATGGAGCCTGCTTCTCCCTCTGCCTGTGTCTCTGCCTCTCTCTCTCTCTCTCTCTCTCCTGTGACTATCATAAATAAATAAAAATTAAATAAATAATAATTAACAAATGACAATACATACCTGTAAAGTAATTACTTTCATTTGTTAAATTTTTTTTTAATTTTTATTTATTTATGATAGTCACAGAGAGAGAGAGAGAGAGAGAGAGAGAGAGGCAGAGACACAGGCAGAGGGAGAAGCAGGCTCCATGCACCGGGAGCCTGACGTGGGATTCGATCCCGGGTCTCCAGGATCGCACCCTGGGCCAAAGGCAGGTGCCAAACCGCTGCGCCACCCAGGGATCCCCTAAATAATTACTTTAAATGCACTGCGCTAAATGCTGCCATCAAAAGACACAGAGTGACTGAATGTACAGAAAAACAAACTCACCTATATGCTGCCTACAAGAGACTCCTTTCAGAACTAATGACATATACAGACTGAAACTGAGGGGATGAAAAAGAGATATTCCATGCAAATGGAAGCAAAAAAAAAAAAAAGCGAGGCAGCAATCACAGTAAATAGTCTTTAAAACAAAGACTGCAGCAAGAAACAAAGAAAGGCATTATA